ATTCAACCGTTTTGACCCGAGTTGTAAATTTTTGCCCCGGTTAAACCGTTTTGACACGGCTGACCCGGTTTACTATAACCCGGTTCTAAGCTCTACGCTTTCTATCGGTCTTACCATCATCATTCATCTTTGCTTTTGTTGAAGAATGCTTAACCGGCTTAGCCTGTGTGACGTCCTTGTATTTCTTTTCTTTTCTTTCTTTGCCTCTTGGAATGGATATAGATTTCATGGTACTCTCAGACATGGCCACTGGATCATTTTGAAGACTTGAAGATTTAATTCGCTTGGAGAGCATATCTCTGTCAATTAAAGCTTTCCGTTTTTGCGCATCTGTATTAATTGATAAGGCGTCTGATGACTGTGTAGATCTTGTTATTTCTGTAGAAATTAATTCGTCGTGACTTCCATCATCATATTCGTCGTCTGAAGAATCCGAACTAATTTCCATATTTTTCTTTTGTGAAATGCTACTTGGTGTTCCTTTTTCATCATCAGAAGAGTCGCTGCCGTTCTTACTAGAACCTTTATAGTCTTTGTCAGATGCGTTTGTGTCTCCTGATACAGATTTTTCGTCTACAATTCCGTCGTCAGCCGGCTCACCATTAACGGTCCCTTGATCTTCGTTCTTATTTTGGTCGTTTGAAAATTCGCTTTTCCACTTATTTAGTGCTTCCTCAAATTCATCTTTATATGGCTATATTATAGGTTCTTTGTTAACAATGAAGCTTATGAACTAGAAAAAAATTAATATTAGTAATCGAGAAATTTTTGTTACCTTTTTTGCATCATCATCCATTTTTCTCCATTGCTCACCCATTATGCGAACTATTCCGTGATACTTTTCATCCGGATATTCATGTTTATATACTGGATATACTTTTTTACAAAAGAATTGAAATGCGTTTTGTGGCTTTGCTGGTCCGTCCCTCTTATTTCTCCTCTTGCGTTTCGGTGCTTGCTTGTCAGCGCCTTCTTCAGTTTGTGAAAGTTTACTTTTTTCTCCTTGTGAACTTTTGCCTTTGCTTGCGCTTCCACCTGTCTCTTTTAATGCTTTGACACGCCCATTTAACATTTCCTGCAGACTCGTAGTGAAATTTCCTCGCTGTAGTTCTTCTTCATTTTGTGCCGACAATGCAGTAGAAATACTAAGTAGACTATCAACTACGCCGGCTAAGTTAAGAGCGATAGTTTCTAACCCGTCAGACTGCCAAAATTAATAATTAATTATGTGATAAAGTGATCAATCATTTTTTAAATAAGTAAAGAAAAGTATACCAAAAACTTATTTTTGCGTTGATTAAAAGCTTCCTTGGACATGTTTCCAAGCAAAAATTGTTTAGAGCAAAACGCGTTGAAG